TCAACGTATTATTTTAAAAATATATTTTATAGTCAAAGACTACAAATTGGTTACAGTGTATACTGCTCAGGGGATGGGTGCACCAAAATCTCACAAATCGCCATTAAATAACTTATTCATGGAACCAAACACCACCTGTTGCTCAATAATTTACAGAAATGAAAAACAAAATTAGAATAAATATTTTATAGGAATTCTTTGAATATTATGTATTTTGGGGTACTAGCTTACTGTGTTATAGGTACAAAATTTTCTCACATTTTGACTTATAACAAACAATAAATGTTAGTTGTTACTTTATGAAGATAAACTTTAATGTCACATCAAATTTTTCAAAGCTCACATTAATTTTCTTTCTTTTTTTTTTGAGACAGAATCTCACTCTGTTGCCAGGCAGGAGTGCAGTGGCGCAATCTTGGCTCACTGCAACCTCCACCTCCCTAGGTTCAAGCAATTCTCCTGCCTCAGCCTCCCAAGTAGCTGGGACTACGGACGCGTACCACCATACCCAGCTAATTTTTCTGTTTTTAGTAGAGATGGGATTTCACCATATTGGCCAGGATGGTCTCAATCTCTTGACCTTGTGATCTGCCTGCCCCAACCTCCCAAAGTGCTAGGATTACAGGCATGATTCACCGCGCTCAGCCCCCATATTAATATTCTTACTAGAATTATAGTAATGTTTGGGAAGGCTCACAGCAGCTTTAAAATACTTAGCCTTCCCATTTGGAAACATGGTATGTCCTAATTTATTACAAATGTTTTCGTTTTCTTCCGTAAGTCATATACACTTATACATTTATATTTCTTGTGATGGCTAATTCCTGCATATTTTATAATTCTAGATGCTACTGTGAACTGATTTGCCTATTATATTTTTCAACTGTTTTCAGTTTATGTAACTGTGTTTACCACCTACAGAATTCTTCATTAAAACAGTTCTAAGAGTTTTCTAAGTTTATTCTCTTAGATTTCTATGTTTGATTGCAAACATATTCTATCATATGCAAATAATAATAATCTTACATGTTTTCCCCAATATTTATGTCTTTTGTTTTTATCATAATAGTACTACCAAAAAAATGAGATTTCTCCATTTAGTATAGCTACTGTAGTAAGCCAAAAGTAATTGTATATTTACATATTTCATATGTAATTATATAAAAATATTCAAACTTTCTTTCAGGTTACTAACTAAGTAGGTCAGTATTTCTACACGAACAGTAAACTGTCACATCTCAGAATATATAGAGCTACATGCTTAAAAAAAAAAAAAAGGCAAATTTTTATTTCTATGCTATTCTTAAAAGGTTCTTCGCAATTCATTTTTTTCACCTGCACGTTCATTTACAAATATGTAATCAAATATTATCAAAAATTTTTTTTTTAAAAAAAGCAGATGCATCTTGGCATGAATAAATTAGGAGACTTGGAATAACAGAACTGTGGGTGTTATGGTTCAGTAATTAGAAAAAAACAAATGACTAATAATAATCAAGCAGAATTTCTGTGAAATTCAGACTTGAAACTGAAAACTTGGGACATAAGAATTTAATTATTTTCTAACCTTCTTTTACTTTAGGACCTAACTGGCATCCAACAGTAATTACCTTAGCTTAAAACACCAACCAATTAAAAAGAATACTATGAAGAATTGGTAGCATGGGCCTTTCTTTTTATATTTTAAGTGTTACTAAAAAAACCCACCGTATTTCTTTCAATCACAGAGGGAATTACATTCCCAAATTTGGACTCTTTCATATCACAGCTTACACATTGTTTTCATTTTATAACCAAACCTTACAAGTTTTTGAGTACTACAGAGATTTTTTAAAACTGTAAAATAGGAAAAACTTCTGTAGATGGGCAGCAGTAACCATAAATAGGTTATTTCCTGGCAGTGATACCAATACAAATTTACTTAAACGTGTAATGTTACAGAGAAATGAAAACCATTCCTACAGTCTGCTGAATAATAACTTCAGTCATAACTTTTGTACTTATAAAAGGTTAACTATTTAAAATATGGTAAGGGATTTCTCTTTATCTAATATCCACATCATGAAAACATATACTAGAAAGATAAGAAATATTTTCCCTACAATCTAGCACTAACGAGGATTTCCAGTTGAAACACTCTAATCAGGGCATAGTTTTCAAAGCCAAACCTAATTCGGCTGGGACTTCATTTGTATGGGCCCATCAACTTTATTTTAAAGCTTAGTTCTCTCAAAAGACTTGTTGCTACACGTGGTATATTTTATACATTGTCTCTTGGATAAAAGTTATTTAAGATGTATTTTTTTTTTAAACAGAAATACTAAGTTTTGGTATACTAACCAACAACAATCTTAACTATGATCCTAAAATCTTGAGTTCTAGCCCTTACCATTAATTCCTAGTCCCACATTTCTAATTGCATCTTTTAAAATAAACTCTTTACCTCCTTCCTCAATAATCCTTCTACTTACACCTACATTGAAAATGCTAATGGTACCACCATACTACTAGTCACCCAGGCAGGAAACTTACAATTCCTCTTTGATTCCTCCTCCTTCTTTCAATTCATCTATCCAACCAGTGCCATGCTTTATTTATTTGCCTACTGATACCCCATTTCAACTGCTAACATGATAATACAGATTCTTTGTAATTTTTGTTTGGGTAGTAGCAAGCTCCTCTTAAACACAATCTCCATTTCAAATCTTCTCTTACAGCATTCCTTCTTCTATACTGTAGTGAAATTCTGTTTCTTAAGTCAGGTTCTAGGCATATTGTGCCTCTGATCAAAAATAACCTTAGGCCAGTCATGGTGGCTCACTCCTGTAATCTCAGCACTTTGGGAGGCCAAGGCGGGTGGATCACCTGAGGGCAGGAGTTTGAGACCAGCCACGGCCAACATGGTGAAACCCCATGTCTACTAAAAGATATAAAAATCAGCTGGGCATTGCAGCAGGTGCCTGTAATCCCACCTACTCAGGAGGCTGAGGCAGCAAAATCTCTTGAACCCAGGAGACGGATGATGCAGTGAGCTGAGATCATACCACCACTGCACTCCAGTCTGGGTGACAGAGTGAGATTCCATCTCAAAAAAAAAAAGAAAAAAAAAAAACCTCTTATCCTGATATCTCAAGTGCTATTATTTGATTTCAAAAACTTAATTCCCCACTATTCACCCTCATGTACTATGCATGCTAGCTAAGCATATTGTTTCCTAAACATGTCCTGTATCGTTTTTTTCTCCCCAACACCTCCCAACCCACCCAGCTCCACCCAAACCTCACATCCCTGGTAACCACAATTCTACTCCCTACTTCTATGAGTTCAACTTGTTTAGATTCCATATAAGTGAGATGATGTGGTACTTGGTTTTCAATGCCTGGCTTATTTCACTTAACATAATGTCCTCCAAGTTCATCCATGTTGTCATAAATGACAGAATTTCCTTTTTTTAATGGCTGACTAGTATTCCATCGTATGTATATCTATACACCACATTGTGTTTGTCTGTTGACACTTAGGTTGATTCCATATCTTGGATGCTATGAATAATGCTCCAATGAACATGGGAATACATACATCTCTTCGACATACTGATTTCATTTCCTCTGGATGTAGGACTTCGGAATCTGTTCTGTGCCTTTTCTATCTCCTAGCCCTTGCCTGTGATGGTTTTTTTTTGCCTAGGGTAACATTTCTTTTTATGTTCAAATCTTACTGATGCTTTAAGGCCTAGTTCGAATGTTGTTTTCCTGTAAGACAGCAACCTGGGTCTTGACCAGCTTGAAAGTTGGAGCCTCTGAACTCCTACAGGGCTTCCTATGGTCTCTATGGTAGTGTTTCTCTAATGTCTAACTTCAAGAGTATTCAGATCTCCTGGAGATCTCGTTAAACTGTAGACTTTGAATCAGTAGGTCTGAAAGTCTGCATTTCTAACAAGATCCTAGGTGATGATGATGTAGCTGGTCTGTGCATAATCTGAATATGAAAGTATTATGGTATAGACTGATTTTTAACTAATGCCCTGGTTATTTATAAGGTTATCTAACTGTTCCTGTTTTCCTATAAATAAAGCAAGGATCCGTTTTCTACTATAACTCGTACAAGAGATGTTCAATAAATATTTGTTAATATAATACTGCATAATGTGTAAATGTGTTTTTTCAAATTGTAGGTTTTCAACACATTAATGAGTTGCAATCTATATGTATACATGTGTGATATGCCTGGCACATTAGATTTTCAATAAATAATTATTAAATGAAAAATAGAAACATTCATAAAATACATTATACAGAGCAAGCAGCAAGTGCTGATAATTGTTATCTATATCTCCTTACTCCCTGTCCCTTTCAAGAAAAAAACACCCTAAATAATGAAGATTTCAAATGTACAACCGTATTGCATGGTCTACACAGGAGTTGGCAAACTATAGCCCGTGGGACAAATCTGGCTAGCTGCTTGTTTTAATCCAAGGCAAACACATTCATTCCTTTACATATTATATATGGTTGCCTTTGCCCAACAAAGGCAAGGGTGAGTAGTTGCAGACCAGATGAACTGCAAAGCAAATATTTACTATCTTATTTACAAAACAGGTGTCTCTATTTTTTTTTTTTTTTGAGACGGAGTTTCGCTCTTGTTACCCAGGCTGGAGTGTAATGGCACGATCTCAGCTCACTGCAACCTCCGTCTCCTGGGTTCAAGCAATTCTCCTGCCTCAGCCTCCCGAGTTGCTGAGACTACAGGCATGCGCCACCATGCCCAGCTAATTTTTGTATTTTTAGTAGAGACAGGGTTTCACCATGTTGACCAGGATGGTCTCGATCTCTTGACCCCTTGATCCACCCGTCTCGGCCTCCCAAAGTACTGGGATTATAGGCGTGAGCCACCGCGCCCGGCCAAGGTGTCTCTATTTTTTAATTATGTACACAATGCTTGGTATATAATCATATGTATTCCCAAGATTATAAAGAACAAATGGCAGAAGTAACTTTTACCTTATTGTAATTCTTGGCTAATTCCAACATCTCTTTTACCACTGATTCATTATGTTTACAATGTTCACTGTAATCCTGAAGTGTCAAACCTTCCATCCAACTCTTCTTATGCAAATTTAGCAACATCTAAAAAATAAAGAAAAATTAATTCTTTTTCTGCTTTGAGGACATCCCCTTCAGTGTCTAGAGGAAAAAAATTTAAAAACAAAAACCATTTTGACTTAATGAGTTTAAATTTAACTTTATTAATTCAAATAAACTCCAACTACAATGCGCCTATATTTATATTAATATAACTAAAGGAGTACTCAAACACCAAGGGCTTTGCATTTGCTGTTCTTCTACCTAGAAGGCTATTCTCATCTTTGCATAACTTACCTTCCTCTCTTCCTTACAGATAGATGCCTTCCCTAACACCACCACCTAAAATAGTCAAACCACATTACCTTAAACAAAAATCTTTCTTCCCTTAACCTGCTGTATTACTCGTATAACACTTATATTATAAAGACCTGAAATTTTTGTTTACTTGTTTATTGCATTTCTCTCCCACTAAAGGGAAATTAAAAAGGCAGGGACTTTGCCCTATTCATTTCAAGATCACCAAGATCTAGATTCTAGAACAATATCTAATAATAGCACACACTCAATAAATATCTGATGAATGAATGAATGAAACTCATATTAATTTTATACAAAGTACATATAGCCTCGATTGCAAATGCCAAGATAAGGAGATAAATGCCCCATGTACTAAATGAACTTGTGTCAATTTTTCTGAGCCTCAGTTTAGAGATCTGTGAAGTAAGGGGTTTGTATTAGGTAATCTCAAAGTTTCCTTCAAATTCTGATATTCCATCCATAATTAAAAACTTAAAACTTCTTTATTGTTAGAATGAAAAGCCATGAAGCTGAGAAAAAAATATTTATCTAGGCTAGGCAGGCTCATGCCGATAATCCCAGCAGTTTGGGAGGTTGAGGCGGGAGAATCACTTGAGGTCAGGAATTCGAGACCAGCCTGGTCAACATGGTGAAAGCCCGTCTCTACTAAAAACACAGAAATCAGCTGGGCATGGTGGCACACGCCTGTAATCTCAGCTATTTGGGAGGCTGAGGCAGAAGAATCACTTGGACCTGGGAGACAGGGGTTGCGGTGAGATTGTGCCACTACACTCCAGCCTGGGTGACAGAGTGAGTGAGACTACAAAAACAAGAAAAATTATCTAGTGTGCAATCACATCAGCAAATTAGGGTTGGACCCTATATTAGTGATCATGAAACTAAAGCACCTTAGTTCAATGTTTCTCAAATTGGACTTACAATTCTAAGTATTCTTAGATGTTCCCTAAGGTTTCAAGTTTTTATTTTAAGACAGTTTTTCTTAAAGTCCTACCCTAGAAATTTTGTTCAATTAAGGACTATGATTAAGGAAGAAGTTTTTCCCTTTGAATGAGTCACAAAATTGCAAAAAGTTAAAAAAAAAATGATGGCTACAAAATGACTGTTATTTTGTCAATAGAACCATTATACTTTAAATGAGATCCCTGAGCCATGAGACTCTGACAAGTACTTGGAGGTATACGCTGGTTTAGTTTAGAAAAATGACCCTATTTGCTGGGCAAGGTGGCTCATGCCTATATTCCCAACATTTTGGGAGGCTGAGGCAGACAGATCAAGACCATGGTCAAGGGATCAAGACCATCCTGGCCAACATGGTGAAACCCCATCTCTACTAAAAATACAAAAATTAGCTGGGCATGGTGACACACACTTGTAGTCCCAGCTACTCAGGAGGCTGAGGCAGAAGAATTGCTTGAAACCAGGAGGCAGAGGTTGCAGTGAGCCGAGATCACGCCACTGCACTCCAGCCTGGGTGACAGAGCAAGACTCCGTCTCCCCCCACCCCCAAAAAAAGGAAGAAAAGAAAAATGACCCTACTTGCTTAGAAATTTACAGCTATTTGTGGTACAAATTTTATGTTATAGTGGAAAATAAGCTGCCTGTCAAAATCACCTATAAGGCTTTTCAAGATACAAAATTCCTCCATTCCCTCCCTTTGGCTCCAAGGTCACTAATTCTTCTCCCATTTCCTTACTATGGCTCCAGGAGCAAGAACACTATGCCAAGAAAAATTAGGAAAACCCTCCACAGATGATTTCAGTTTCTTTGATTGCTTCCTAGCTTCTCCACTGATACTGTTCTAGAAAATACATCTTTGGGAAATGTGGGTGCTGCTACAACTACCTATGCTATACAGCTACCTATAATTAAGTGTTGAGAACTGCATTTCCCTACCATTTCAAAAGCAAACAAAGACAGTTCCCAAGGAGCAGCAGGATATTCCTATCATATCTGGACAAGGATACCCTTGGGACTCTCAGGTAAGGCCTGGGGTTAAGTATACAAGTTGTCCGGGTAAGAGTAAAGGCAGAGCTTTTGTTATCAAGAAGGCAGTTTAACAGCTAAACTGAGCTATTAAGAACATAAACATAACATTAATTAATTTATGTAAGTGCTTATATATTTGCTTTTTATGCCAAGGAAAATGGCTAAGTTTATGAGATACTCCCCAAAAAAAGAGAAAGAAAAAAATTGATGTAATTAGCCAGACATTTCCAAATAGATGGGTGTCCAATATCAGTCTGATAAAACATTTATATTCTGAATGAATTTTCTGTTTGTACCTGAGTGGTGCCATTTTTCATAGTCTGTGCTCATTCCATGTAAAATTAAAAATAAGCGTTAAAAATATACTTAGAGCAATCAACTAAATCTATCACAGCAGAAGTAAACTGTGGGACACAGGCAGGCAACTGGAAGAGAGATTTATAGGATCCCCTCAGGCCAAGGGGTAAATGGTCCCCCACCCCCTCACTTATCACATGCTGAAGCACTGGGCCCTTCAGATGAGTTTATGAGTGGATCTGACCTTTTAAAACACAGTTTATCAAACTTAGGAAAAAAAATTAGAATTCTTACTTCAAAAAAAAATCTTATATTGCACATCCTCCTCCCAAGTGTATAGATTAGTTGAAAGAGAGGGTACATGTGGAGAGCGCGCCTCACTCCATCCGCCAGTTGCCATGCACCAGGATCTCCTTCTAATGCACCTTGGTGAGAAACAGTTTTGGCTAGATAGAATGATCTTATTTGCTACTGATTACTTATCACTTTCAGACTTAAGAGTGGACTCAATAACTGAAACGTAACTGGATATCAATCAATAGTAAACTCAGTGTTCTTTGAAAAAAAAAATGCTTTTAACTGTTTCCCAGAGAGAAATACAAGAAACTAATTAGGTGGATGACTAATTGTAGTAGTAAAGAGGGAGAAAGTGGGTCAGACTGAAATATCAAAAAACAACAGGCAAAGTTAAATACTTGGCATTAGTTGAGAGAAAAACTGTACTGGAAATAATCCTAAAATAGTAGAAACAAACGAGAATGCTAATTCATCAAAATGTTAGGTAATGTTAAAAAGTAATCAAACTTGAAAACTGGTATAAAAGACGGTAAGGATCTAGTTCAAATTATCTGAAAATCCCATAAGTGCTTCCCTTTGACTCATGTTTAGTTTTCTTAGGGTAAACATGGTATGTTTTCTAAAACCACTAGGCTGGGTGAAATGGTTGGCTCATGCTAATAATCCCACCGATTTAGGAAGCTGAAATGAGAGGATCACTTGAGCACAGGAGTTCACGACCAACCTAAGCAAGAAAACAAGTCTCTGTTTCTACCTCCCACCCACCACCCAAAAAATAGCCAGGTGTGGTGGTGCATGCCTACAGTCCCAGCTACTCCAGAGGCTGAAGAGTGAGGATCCCCTGAGCCTAAAAGTTCAAGGCTGCAGTGCACCATGATCACACCATTGCACTCTAGTCCGGGAGACAGAGCAAGACCCTATCTCTTCAAACAAACAAACAGCACTATACAACTGCAATTTAAGTTATTCCTCTCAAATTCACAGAGCAATATATTTACTAATTTAATGACAAAGGCCTTTTTATTGGAGAAGATACATCAATCAGAAAAATCACAGAACTAAAAGAAGTATTTTTATGATTTTCATAAAACCAAAGTGGAATGTTTGATTTATTTCCTACTTCCTCTCCCACTTCAGCACCTACCAATAAGGTAAAATATGCTGCAATTCATCAATAGTGGAACAGTATTTGGAAACATTGAAAGAGGTCAAAAATTCTAATTTAAATCACAAACCAGGTAATAGTTTAAATGGTTTGAAATATATTTTTTCCTCATATAAAATAAAAATTTAAACTTACCTTCTGTTCCAGTTCATTTTTCCGATAGTTAATAGTAATGGAGTAATAATGTCTGTTTAGTCCATGAATTAATGCCTACATAGATAAATGATTTTAAAAAGGACAAATTAATATTTTTCATCAAAGAAAATAAAAACATTTGAAACTACTGACATATTCTGTACACAATACCTTTACCATCCTCTATTAAAGGTATTTTAATTTAAGTAAATCAAGATGAAATGAAAGTATTTTTCTCAGCTACAGATTTTAAACTAAGGTTTAAAGAAATGGGTTATACATTCTTCAAAGCATGATATGGAGGAGCACAAATTTCAGTAGCCTTGGTCAGTCAGAGATAAGGTTTGATCTTATCATCAGCTAAGTTTTTATATCATCCATAATTTATTAAATCTAATTTTATGATATCTAGGGGGCTCATTGGTATTTCAAATGAAAATCCTAAAAGGTCATAATAACACAACTGTTTCTTTAGCCACATTAATCTGGAGTTCCCCTTTTCTTAATTCAGTTTTGCTTGATTCAAATAATTATGTTATGAATGTCTCCAAAACAATGTGGATTTTGGTCTTTACTGGGTCTGTCTAGCTCATGCTCTTATCCAGTGTCATGCAGTCTCACTAACCAGAATTTTTTCCACCTTACTCTATCTTTGAGATGAATAGGCCAATCATAATAAAATCTTAAGCTAATGGCATAGCTTTATTAAGAAACAACAATCCTGGATATCCTGAAATCAATTCACAACTGCCCCCATATCTAACTCTAATAACAATATCAGGTGTTCAAATGAAGTTCAGCAGTACTCTGGTGGACCTAAAGGACCCTCTGGCAGCCTAGAAAAACATGAAAGTACAGAAATACATCTTAGGGATATTTTTAACAAGTATAAAAACAAAAAGAACTTTGGGGTTAACTCTCAGGAATCTAAAGACAAAGCGGAAGAAGGGGTCATTAAAGAGAACATTTAATGAGCACCTAGTATCTGCTTTACACATTACATCTTCTAATCTTCACAATACTGTGAGGTAGGCCAATTCAATTTGTATTTTGACAGATGAAAATAAAATGCAGGGCTAGGCCCAGTGGCTCAAGCCTGTAATCCCAGCACTCTGGGAGGCTCAGGCAGGAGGATCACTTAAGCCCAAGAGTTCAAGACCAGCCTGGACAACATAGCAAGACCCCATCTCTACAAAAAAGACCAAAAAAAGAAAGAAAATACGACACAAATATTAATTTGTCCAAGTTTACAGCTAGTATAAGGCTGAGATGGGGATCTGAACCTAGGTCATTCTGATTCCATAGCCTATGTTCTTTCTAACATACTATACTACAATACATGTCAGGAAATTCTTGGATTAAGTATACGTACTTTAAGGATCAGGATGAAAACAAAGCATTATGTTAATTTTTAAGCTTCACTAGCAAAAATCACTCCACTGAGTATTGAAATATTTTAGATAAGTACTTTAACAGATTCTTACTTTACCAATGTCTGTTATAAAAGTGAGCTATGAAATTCCATAGAAAGCGGTGACTGATTGTAAAGTACCAAGAGTATATATTAAATCCTTATTCATTTCAATAATCACCAGGAGCAATGAATTAAATTTCAGTGCATAAAAATGCTATATTGTACAGATCAAAAAGCTGAAGTGATCAGGGCTTCCTTTAATCTGTGCTCATATTTATGCACATTAGGAGGTGAATCATCCTGGTAGAGAATTAGAAAAAGGTGCTCAGTCTTCTAAGCAGACATAGTCTGGCTGTAGAGAGTGGAGCTTGAGTTGGAAGCTCCCTCAACCAAGCACGTTTCTGCAATGCACTCACTAACTGCACAACTCTATATGGTGATCATAAAGCTAGTAACTGCTGTAGCCAATACATACAGAAGCCAGCTAATGGGCCCACAGATACTAGGCCCTACATTTTTTAGATTAACTGTACTAATGAAATATACAACTGGTATCTGAAGGCACTATCTACTTGATTTTCAATTATATTATTTAGATAAAAGTAGTACAACTAACATAGACAGCATTAAAGACCAGCAGGTATAACCATAATAAAACAAAGGTAAGTTTAAATCAAATGGCATCCTCAAGTAATCTTTCAATTTCATTTACCTGCTGTATGCCCCCAGTGCCTTCATCCCAAATCATAAGTCAACCGGCCATGTACTTTTTGGGTTCATGTAGAACTACACATGGCCAACTGATAAAAGCTCATAAAAGCTTATGATTTTTACCTCTATACACTCACTGCTGTGGAAAAGCAGGTGCATTATAAAACACACAACTTATGAATTATACATAAGCTATTCATAGGTTCCTGGTAAGTTTTTAAAGTTTCAAAGTTTCATGTTCCTTGAAAAAGTATGCTTAGATCTAAAGACAAATTTGTTTGCCTTATTTTATATTGATAAACTGAAAACAATACAGTGGCATCTGATATCCTTTAAATCACACTCTAAAATGAAGCTTTCTATGTATAAATAGAGTAACTGAAAAGAAACAAAATGTTTTGTGGTTCCCTCCATAGCGGAGAACTGAGTTGCACAAGGCAAAAGAGGAAGGGAGAGTTTTTGCTAAATGACTTTGTGCTTAAACATTTTTTAAAAATGTATATATATATATATATATATATATACAT